CAAGTCACCCTGTCTGTTGTCTAACTCAGAAGTGAGTTTATGTGCGTGTGTGGTTCTCTCTATTCTTCACATTGTCGTCCTTCTGTGCCTGTTTATATATGTTAACTGAAGCCTTATTGATTGAATCAACTGAGAACAAATGCAATAGGAATGATTCAACACTTGTTCTGGACAACTGGGAAATTCTGTCTCCCTAATGAGAAATATCAAAGAAGATGGACAACTCCAAAAACCAATTGAGTTACAAATGATGAACATATGAGTATGAACGATAAATTATGTTCGAAACATCTTCACCCTGGTAATAACACTGTCCCATACTGTGCGTGTGTCTGTGTGTGAATTTTTACTTGCATCCTCTTGTATTAAACGCACACATACTTGTGAACAGAAGGTGCATAACTGGAAGTATTTTGACAAAGCAACAGTAATAACAAGAACAACATACACAGGCAGGATAGATACAAGGGCTCCCATTTATTTTATCTATGCTGTATCTCTTGTCAACTGATAAGGGATAATAGATTTAATCGCAACTGTGACATACATTTAAGTAATAAGTGTAGTAATAATAATACTAAGAGCTTAATTGCGAACAATAATTGCTTATACTGAACAGAATTTTCAGTAATTCACATATTGCTGAGACAGTTTATCTTCCTTTTATTCTATTATTATTGTTTCCTTTAGTTCCTAGACTAAGGCTTCTGCCGCACATCTCTATTGCGTTTGGTTCTCCACCAATGTTTTCACCTGGCTCCAAGTCTGCCCACATGCTTTCATCTCCTCTTCACATGACCTCCTCCATGTTACCCTCGCACTGACGACCAACTCGCCGCTTCCCATTCGGGTTCCACTCGAGCGATGGCCTGGTGTGTTGTCACTTGATGGTTATCTCAGAGTATGGCTAATACACCTCCATTTCTTCCTGCACATTTGTTGCACAGTTGGTCCCTCCTGGGTTGGTTCTCTGCCAGAGATCCCTGTTGCTTATCTTTTCTGGCCGGCCATCTGATCTTGAGTAGTAGTGAGCGAAGACAGCTGTTGATGAAGGTCTGTAGTTTGGTTTAGGTGCTCTTCATGACGCGCCAAGTCTCTGATCCGCATAGTAAGTAGCACTGACTTCACATTGTAGTTGAAAATCCGCGTCTTGGAAAGTCATAGGTCACAAAGAGGATGTTCAGTATCTGATTGCCAATTACTTTAGCCGGCAGCTTGTGTAATGAGCAAATTTAATCTGAACTGAAGACACTGATCGCTAAGTTCTACTGTATAGGCGACAATAATTTCATTGATACACATGCTATCGAGACACACTCCATATGCGGGGAAAAGACGATTATTCGCCATTATTTTAGTGGTTCTATCAAACAACGACAATAACATCAAAACTCAAATTGACCTCAATAGTTCTGTGAGGTTGGCAGCTATACAGGACACGAGAGATTGCAGACAGTTAATTTAACGGGGTCGGAGTGACAGTTTGAAGGCATAATCTCTGGAAAAGTCATTTGGTGTATTGTTATACGTTTGAAAGCACGTTCCCAGCTAAAATGGTGCTTTTCTTTCGATTTTTTGAAAAGTTGCACATTCGCATGTCACGAACGTTTTAAATATTCGCCAGTGTGCACAGTACAATTGCAAGTTATATCTTAACCGGTTAATCGGTTAGAACAAATTGAACAAGAGAAATTACATGCAATATAATGACGGATGGATATTTGGCAGCTCAAGGCTTAGGCAAGCAGACAAGATTTATATAAACTCCAGACTGTCTAGAAACTTCCATCCACTTACACCATTATTCATAATCATACACATAATTTCTTTCTAAAATATAGGCTTTGTCGGACAACAAAACTGCGACAGTGAACAGTGGTAGTAGTGATTATTTGAATTTCAGTGTATGTTGTTTGCGTAATGTAGTGCTTTACTTTTGAGGTGGCACTGATTTAATATCTTCTTAATTTAGAGGTACACTATAACAACCGAATTTATTTGCCTATGGTTTGAACCCAATAAACTGATGTCCACGTTTTACTGTATAACCGGGGAACATTGCTTTAAGACACTTGCTATCAGGATATATTCCAAACAGGAGGCAAAGACGATTATTGTTCAGTGTTTTAGTGGTTCTATTAAACAAAGATAATAAAATAAAACTCAAATTCGTCTCAAAAGTGCCTACTTATACAGACAAGGTAGGCTTCTAAGCACAAAACAAGTACTGTTAGACAAAATAAGTTAACCAAATTCCAACTGTAAAAGGTACCTTAGAATCAAGGAGAATATTCTCAACAAGGTGGAAACAAGAGCTCTGAACACACGAGTTGCGCACCAAGGCCTTCTGGTTCAGAATAACCTTCATTCACTCAAAGAAACACATCATTAAACAACACATTGACGGTGTACACACAACCACCGAGAGAAGTATTACAATTAGAGATTAAGCAAGGACAAAGGCAAATAGTAAAGGGCCAAAAACCAACATATGATATGCAAATGTCAAATTATTGATACCTAGCTTAAGAGAAAAGCGTGTACTAGTTACATAGTTAGTTGGAATGTCTGAATAACTACAAATACTTTAGGTAGATCGTCGCGGAGGGATTCTCCAAACGAGTTAGCTGATACAGCTTATAGGAATTCAAATGACTATTAACAAGAACGTCAGCTAGTTTGGTCATAGACATACTGCTAACTCTGCTTACAGCATTTAAAGTCCTACGTAATGCAAGATATTCCTTTTTAGAGAAGCTCAGGGAAAGAACAAGTGGGGGATGGGACAATAATGCGCCAGTAGGTTGTAAGAGAAGAGGCTGAGTTATGCCAGATATCCTTCACTTCCTTATATATTAAGTCAAACGAAAAAGAACTTTTCTATAGAGATGAATAAATGTGTGTGAGACGACCAACAAAGATTGGAAGAGCAACCTGATACCAAGGTGGGTGATATTTTCGAATTATTTCCTACCACACACACACACACACACACACACACACACACACAGGGAAGTTGATATCAAAGGAATCACGAGACTTTAGGCAAATGACCACCAGTGATTAAGAATGATGATGGTAGTTAAGTGAATTTTGTCATTTGAGTTATTGTAAATTACTGATGAAGTGCTTTAATTAGACAGCTATTAAGCAAACGAAGATTCTCATAATCGAGGGATAAAAAAAGTGTAATTATAGGATTACTTAAGTCATTAGAAAATTGCTAATCGAGGAAATAAAATATATCAGAGAAAACCAGTTGTGAGTTATTCTCTCACTTATTTAGATTTCAGAAATATGAAGCATACGATGCTTAGTAAATCACACTAGTAACTAGTGTGATGTGTCCAGTCCTTTGTTCGGTGAAAAGCGAATACTCTCAGACAGGTTTGCGATGTGACCAGCATTCTAAGTAGGTCGCCATCATGATGCACACTGATTTGATGATATGAGATGATTACAGACAATCGGAAGGAAGCTTTCCACCTATGTTTCATGCTAGTTTGGCACTCACTAGTCAACAACGTGTAACTGCAACCTTGAAGGAACTTGAATCTCTTCTGAGATTCGAACCTGCGTCATCCAGTGCCGCCTGCAGTCAGAGACGTTACGACTGAGCTGTTTGGGGTCGATACTTTGATTGGATACTACTGACTAGTGTCATGTGTCTAATCCTTTCTTTGGTGCAGCATTGACTGCAGCACTGGGTGACGCGGCTTTGAATCTCAGAACGGATATGAGTTCCTTCAAGGTGGTTGCAGATTCGCCTAGCTGACTGACTGGTGAGTGCCAACTAGCACGAAACCTAGGTCAGGCAAGGTTTCCTGCTAATTGCCTCCAACCATCTAATATCATCAAATTATCGAAAATTTCATGCATTTATTCTCCTTGATGAATTTGAATAAAGCGAGAACAACAGTGGTTTGTGCAGAATAATATGCTGCTGTCGTTTATTTCATTGACTTCTAATCAGCTGTTTACAGCCTAAGTAAATTATGAGGTTTATGAACAGAAAAGTTTTAACATACTTGCAAATTTTTCGTGAGGTCAGTTTACAGAAGGCTCAGCAATTAGTGAACAGTGCTCAGAAAATTGCGCTTATATACTTTTTACACAGGCAGTTCAAGTTTAAACAAAACAAATGTATGCAAACAATGGTAAGGCAGTTACTCAATAAAGACGAGGGATGCGTAAGATGCTGAGTGACTAATTAATTAGGCAACAATGTACTGAGTTCAACCCAAGTCACTGAAAGAAGAGACAAAAAAATTACAAATTATAAAAAGAGGAGGGATTAAAGCCAAAGATTACGTAATCAAATGAAAGAAATAAAGACGTCCAGTTATCAGGGCAAGGAAAGACTAATAACTGCTTCTTTTTGAACACATAAATCTGGTTTCAAGAGTTTGATAGAAAATGCTTCGCCAAACTTGAGGAGAATTGAGCTCCTTTGTATATTTATGATAGTTTTAAAGGATTTTGCGATTACCACCTCATCGAGGAGATGTCTGGTAATAGCGCTATTTTAAGAGTTTGTTCCTTTGGCTGATGAGAAGCCAACGAAATAAATGATGGTAGCATATTATTCTGCACAAACCACTGTTGTTCTTGCCTTATCAAAATTATTTTTCCTCACATCCAGTGTGGTGGAGGACTCTACGGGGTTGGGAATTCCCACTACAACGACAGACAACGTCGTTGTGTAGTCAACACAGTTTGAAGATCCCGGTTTTGAACCTCAGGTGGTGTCATAGATGTCTAAAGTTATCCACCACTCCTTATTGATTTTTAATGATTCTCTCCCTGATATCAATCCATGATCGAACCTTGAAACCGATCACCATACTGAATACCACTCGACTGATATGAAGAACTAGACACATGAAACTGATAAAACTCAGAATAGACACATATTTTGACAAAAGTGTCTTCCCCTGCAATACGATTGGTTAATTCAGCGAACGAATATGATTGGTTGATCACTCATTGGACAAATCCACCTATCTTGGAACAACACACCAAATTAATCAGTTTCGTGGATCTGATTTTGTCGATCTGGTTCATGACATGATGATGAAACCGTAAAAAACGTTTTTATTCAATTGAAAAAAAATTATCACAAAAATATATCATGCATCAGCTAAACTTTGAAGCAATTAGCAAAGCTCAAGTTCTACTGAAAAATGAAAGTCTCTCATCAATCTACCATGAGAATGAAAATAATTCCGACGGATCCCTTAACAATCTGCTGAGTAGCAATGTTGACTTATTTTGGAGTGTTATGCATCAATGCTTCCATCTAACTGATATTATCCACTATCAATCCACACATTTCAATCATTCATCACTACCAATAATAATTGGTAGTGATGAAAGCGTGGATGGAGAGTACACCGGAGTGGAACTACAATCCCTGTACAATTGGTGTAATCTAGGCAAATCAACCTGGTTTATAAATATCTTCACTATTATGCATAATAATTCATGGCAAGCCAACTTCTCAACTAATCTACAACAGTATTTATTGCCTATCCTCTTGCTGGTCAATTGTTTCAGTTTAATTACCTCAATATCTGGAGTTTATCAACTCTATAGCCTGTCGAGTAAATCAAATCAAAAAGTGATGATCTTAATGCAACACCAATCGATTGTACGATGTTATCTCCCGGCAACATGGCCGCTTATTTTATCCTATTGTATATTTGGTTTATTATGGTTAATATTAGTACTCGGTTTGAATATGATAACAAGTCAATTCTCCAGTACAGCTATCAGCTTGCACAGTCATGATTTCTATTGTCGAACAGTTACTTATATGACAAATATTTTAAGATATATACCAACCTGGTTAATTGGATTAATGCTGTGTGATCGAGCTATCGGCGAATATCGTAATCGACATTACGTGTATGAAAGACAAATAAATCGTCAGCGTGTGATGGGTCGGCGAATTCCTGATGCTGTCAGTGAAGATGATGATGATGATGTTGATCTGGACGACGATCTAGACAATTGCAACAGTGATGCGAGGGTACAGAAAAGTAGGAGTACAGAAGACAGATTAATGTTACCTAATATTAAATACAACAATACAAGTGATACACTCTCTTACACGGAATCAAACTGTCAACTGCAATTAGACAGTCAGGCTAATTGTCATTCTGGTTGTAGTAACATGCAAAAACTACACAGTCAGAAGACATCTAACTTCTTATTATGCAGAAACTTTTTTCGTTGTTGCTGCTGTGGTAACAGTGAAGATCATATTCGATGTGTATTTCATGGAATTAAACGAACCTCATATGATGCGAACAACATATATAACAGTGATGCTAGTGTACACAAGTATTCATCAAAATGTGATCAGAAAGCTACACTTAGTTCACAATCACATAGTTATGAACAGTTGTTAAAGGATGTATGCAATTGGAAAGAGTGTGGATTAGGTCGTGTCGGGGGATTAGTTCTACTCAGTATTCTTACAGCGTTAATCTGTTTGATTAATACTCATCTGTTATGGCTGTATAAAATTGGAAAATCCAGTAAACGTTGTATGCTGTCAGCTGGTGATGCTATCATCTTGTCATATTTTTATCCGTATTTGTTAAAAGTAAGTCACACTGTAAAATCACTTTTTTCCCCGGTGGATGGAGTCGAACATAAGTCGGGAAGGGGGGGAGAGGACTTCATACTTGCTTAAACCTTGAAGTTTTTTAAGTAGTATTTCTCGCTTGTTGTTTTCACGAGTTGAGCTTGTTTTTAGCCTTACACATCCCTACACCTTTCCTGTTTACAAGGCTTAAGGAGTGCACTCAAAACTGGAGCTCGAACCCAAGAACACCTATGTATGTGTGTGTGTGTGGCGTAGTGAATGATATTGCTAGCACAATTTACTGCTACCTATAATCATATATATATATATATATATATTGAATTCACACGGTTCCAAAATTTATATTATTGTTCCCTTGGGTTTCGAGTGGAATATAGGGCTTCGATTGCAAATCTATATCTCACCCTCTAGTCCTCTTCAGCCGGCCCCATAATTTCCCATAGGCTCTCATCCTACACAATCTCCTCTATGTCACCCGTGGGCTCACGTTCAACTCGTCTCGTACTGAAGCTGTAGCCTGATGTGAGATATCATCTAACGATGTGTTTAGCAGGTATCCGATCCATCTCCTAATTTTATTCTCTATGCTGAGTGCAGAATGTTTCCAGTCTGATTCCAGAGAGACAAAGTTCTGTCTTGCCTCTCTGATTCTCGTTTTGACAAAAAGTCATCCGTGCCGACTGCCTCCAGTTGAAAAAATAATGCTTCTTAGATAAGATAATGAAGAAATTTCTTTTAAATTTCTCTGTCGTTAAGGATTGGTGCTTGTAGTTGTCGGTTGGTTAATTATCTTCATCACCTCCGTCTCCTCTGCGTTCACTTGATGTCCCATCTTCTCTGCCTACCACTTCTGCGCAATTGTTGGTTTCTTCCGGTAAATTTATAAGCTTGTGTGATATTAAACAATTATCATCTGCAAAGTCCGGACCATGTAAAGTCTTCTTATCAGTCCAACTTATCGCTGTCTTCTCTCTCACCACGTCTGGTGTACCACATAATGCGGTACGTCACAATTAGAAATATAAATGGTGATAATATACAGCCTTATCTTCACTTCAAACGCTTGGCTTATCTTTCACTTCACATTTAGTATTGTCATGTAGATGTTGAATCAGGTAGATAAAGATTTGGGGCGCGAGAGAGAGAGTGTTGAATTCGTTTTCGAATTGCATGAAGGATTTCACCATGAGCTGACATCAGTTAGAGAACCCCTGGAAAACCTCGGAGTACTGGACAGCTGTTTCATCCTCCCAGTTTGGGACTCTTCATCAGTACGCGCCCAACGGGATTCGGACCCACGACCTTCTGGTTACACCATTGAGCCACTGGGACCCGATCCAGTGGTCACTGAATCCTAACTTCTTGCCAATTCACGGCTCAATGGTCTACGAGCTCGCCTTGTAACCAGAAGGTCCTGAATTCGAATCCCGGTGGGTGTGTACTGATGAAGAGTCCCAAACTAGGAGGATGAAACAGCTGTCCAGTACTCCCCGGTTTTCCAGGGGTTTCTCTAACTGATGACAGCTCATGATGAAATCCTCCATGCAATCAAACAAAATCCCTACAAAACCAATACTTGAAATTTTTAAAATTATTTCGAGGTCGACGCTGTCGAAGGCCTTTGTATTGTTAATGAAATTGAGGTAGAGAGTGGACTGTCATTCTATTCCATGTCCGATGACGACGCTTAATTTTATGTCAACATATTTTCTCTTTCCCTAGATTCTTTTATCGAAATTTTCCGCTTACCCCGTTAGGCGTAGCATCATTTCCATTGTACATTTTTGAAATCTACTTAATGAATAAAGATTCAGCGATTAACCTCTGTCTGTCCCTCTCATCACCTAACTGCATTACGTTTTATTAATATCGATTACATGCAAGTGAATCCATTGCAATGACTGAACTATATTCTAAAGATTATTTAACTTAGCAGTAAAAGTCATTCTAATCCTCATTATAATAAAGGTATTTTTTGTATTTCCCAATGAATGAAAAACAAAACGATATTGTTTTTACTGACGTTTCGCTATTTAATGCTGCTGATAGCTTTATAAAAGTATTATTAAACCGGAATTTACAAAATCTCAGCATATATACAGCAAAGAGTTAAGGGGTGAGAAAATAGACTTAGGTCAAGTTAAAGGGACATACTAAAAGTCTAAATAACAATGAAGATCACTAAACCAAATGACAAAGGTAATAGTACATCTGTTATGGTATCGAAACAAAGTTTACTAACTTGATCATCGTTCGTCAGTCTGGGGACATTTTTCGTTGTCAAGTTGGTCATTTGGTAAAGATAACAAAATCAAGTGTGGATTGTTGGATTTGATCGGTGTGTAAAATTATAAAAGTAGTGTGTGTTTAAATAGTGAACTTGCTTATCACATTCGTGTTGATTTCGTCACTTGATGGGGGGAAGGAGGTGTTGTAACTAGGTCAAATTCTGTTTTAGTCCATCATTCCTATTCGTGAAATTTGGATTCCACTTTATATGAAGTGCTTCTGATATTAAACGTTCTTTGTGATTCCTGAAGTTTTTCTGGATTATTTTAATATTGTCAAAATCACTTTTGTCATCTCATTCTACAGAGTGTAGACAAGCTATGGCTGATGATTTTTCAAGTATTTCCAGTTCAATTGGATTTCTCGGTGGTCGAACAGATGCTCTACGGTGTTCATTTCTTCTGATTTTGATTTCTCGAGATGTTTGTCCGATATATATCGCATCACATTCCAAACATTTTATTTTATAGACACAATTAGATAGAGAATCTTTAGGGATCTGGTCTTTTATATGGACTAGGTTGTTTCGTAGTGTGTCTGATGTTTGAAAGAAAACTCTAATGTCGAGCTGATTGAGTACTCTTCTGATATCGTCTGACGTCTCTCCTCTATATGGAATGACGACTGTCAAGGTCCATGTTTTCGGAATGCGTTTCCGGCCACACTTAATGTCTGTGTTGATTTTGTTGATGAAGTCCCTTGGGTAGTTGTTTTGCTTGAGAGTTTCAGTAATGTTTGATATTTCTTCTTTTTCTTTCTCATCCGTTATTAGAGAGTGTGCTCATCTAAGAAGACTTAAAACAACTGAAATCTTTGCGCTGATGGGGTGTGATGATTTGAAGTCTAAGTATTTATTGGAATAGGTTTTCTTCCTGAATATGGATGTACGAAAATGTCCGTTTTCCCTTCTCTTAACTAGGCGGTCTAGAAATAGTAGTTCACCGACGTCTGATTCTGCTTCCGAAGTAAACTGGCTAAATTTTTATGTTTCGTGAATCGAATTAACAGCGATCTTCTAGTCTAACCTATTCAGTTGGCACATTTTATTATGCAATACTTTTGAAAGCAGAGGTCCAATTTCTAGCCCCAAAAATGGCCACCAGTGATTCAGCTATGCATAAATTCCGTACAAACACAAAGTTCATTCATGCTATACTGAGGAACTCTGTATCTCTGTGAAGCAACTATACAGGGCGTCCGATGCCTAGAGCTGACAGGAAGGATAGGACTACTGGTTTCTGGAACCTAAAATAGGATCTATGAGAAATCTCAACGTTTCGTTCTGCAAAGTGGTCCGAACATCTTCTTTAGAGAAATTCTTGAAATTTTGTAAAAACCTTATCTGATCATATGATTCATGAATAGACATCAAAATATAATAAACAAACAAAAGTACATGAACCTTGGGCAAAATTTGGCCAAAGACTTACAAATATTAGTCTACTTTGTTGTTAAACTTTATTAGCAGTGTGTACTTTTGCATCAGACTTTCAGTGAATACTTTTGACTAAAGTTCATGGTCATGGATAACTGCATATGAAAAATATTTATGTTTTTGTGTTAGGCAATGTTGTTTATGTGTGGATGACAGAACATATGGATATATCATTTGTTAGCCTTTCCACAAGACGATATAAACAATCGGGGAATTTAGATTAAGTATGATGATGAAGATTCCTGGGCAACACCACCAACAGCAACAACAACAACAGACAACAATCAGCATAAATGGGAGGAACCAGAAAGAAACAACCTCTTTTACCACCTACCTTGGAAGCATCGTTTCAACTACTGGCGGACGGAACTGATGAGGATATCAAAGCAAGAATCAGAAAAGCAAGACAAGCTTTCACTACACTCAAGCCTGTATGGAGGTCAACAGCACTCAGCATCAAAAATAAGATCCGGATTTTCAACTCCAATGTGAAGTCAGTCAGTGCTACTCACTATACGGATCAGAGACTTGCACTGCGCATCATGAAGAGCATCTCAAACAAACTACAGACCTTCATTAACAGTTGTCTTCGCTCAATACTCAAGATCAGATGGCCAGCCAGAAAAGATCAACAACAGGGATATCTGGCAATGAGCGAACCAACACAGCAGGAACGGATTGTGAAACAAATGTGCAGGAAGAAATGGAGATGGATTGGCTGGCCGTACTCTGAGGAAACCATCAAGTGACATCACTAGACAAGCCATTGCTCGAGTGGAATTCAGCCGAAATGGAAGCGGCGAGTTGGTCGTCAGTGCAAGGGTGAGGGTGACTTGGAGGAGGTCATGTGAAGAGGAGATGAGAGCATGTGGGCAGACTTGGAGCCAGGTAAAGACTCTAGCAGAGAACCGAACGCAATGGAGACGCACGGCTGAAGCCCTATGTTCCTCTAGGAATTAAAGGAAACAATAATAATAATAATGATCTACCAATGATACATATCCGTTTATCATTTATTAATCGGGAATTTCCATGCATCAGCTAACATCACACTTTCACATCGGTTCAAATTTTTGGGATTCACCCATATATGTAGGACTTCTGCAGTCAGTCTTTCTTTATTATACGAACCAAAACTTTTCTGCAGAACCTCAGTCCTGTCAAAGTCGATCTTGTGTCCCAATTCTATCGAGTGCAGTGCTATCGCTGATCTGCTTTCTTGCTTCTTCAAATCTGTAAAGGTCTTTGGAACCACGTTTAGAAGTTTGTTAGG